AATATGCAGATGGCTTTCATAAGTACGTCGCTGAGAATCTAGATAGTTCGGTTCAATTGACACCTGAACTGTCCACTCAGATTTGGAAAGAAAAAGTGGTAGGGGGGACACACAAGGGTAGATGCTATGGTCTAGGCTCTCGCAACGATGTTAGACGCCTTCAGTCAGGCTTAGAAGGTATTGGATCGTCACGTCAAGCTGAGGCACTTGACGGTGTTCAGATTGCTGCTATGTCGGATCAAATAACTAAACTTACAGCGGCACTAGCAGAGTTGGAGCGGAAAAGAGTAGCTGAACAACAAAGCATGAGTGAGACCGTTCAGCAAATCAAAGAACAAGTGATGAACCTCGCTCGTCGACCTACTACTTCGGCTCCCGATGACATCGACGACGAGAGTGATGAGGATGATTATGTAGATCTCACTCCCTAGTTTAGATCTCTGGACATTTATGAACTTTTTGAAATTTTAAAACGAATTTTAAAAGACTTTATAAGTCTTTAATTTATGATTTAGATACTTTTGAATGTTATTTTAAGTTTGTTATTTTCTGTTTTGTTTAGACTATTTATAATTGTGTGTGTTTGATTGGACTGAATAGTATAGAATTGAATTGAATTGAATTTGCAGGTGGGCAGCAGAAGCTGTGAGTTGCTACTGTCAAAAATATTGCAGAAAAAGCAACGGACAACGTGGTTTAGTCCGTCGCTTTTTTGGGTTTTAATTTTTTTAAAAACCCAGAAAAGCGACGGACAGCGTGGTTTTGTCCGTCGCTTTTTTGGGTATTTAAAAATAAAATTTCCAGAAAAGCGACGGACAGTGTCCTTTTATCCGTCGCTTTTCTGGGATTTTCAAAAAATAAATTTCCAGAAAAGCGACGGACTGTGTCACCCTTTAGAAATAAAAAACAAATGAAAAATAAAATAAAGCGACGGACTCCATCGCTTTTTTAAAAAAATTCAAAAAAAAAAAGTCGAAAAGTGACTTAGTCCGTCGCTAAAAGAGACGCAGTCCGTCTCTAAAAGCGACGCAGTCTGTCTCTAAAAGCGACGCAGTCCGTCGCTTTTTGAAAAGCGTCGAGCTAAAAAGTGACGAAAGTGACTGCGTCGCTTTTTCATCGATTTTGACAAAAAATCGACGCAGTCCGTCGTTTTTTGACAATTTTTTAGTAGTGAATTCGCTGGAAAATTATACACCTCATAAAGGTGAATCTTGAACAAGTCGAATAAAATTAGTTAATTTTAAGAAACATATATTTTTCTTTTTAACGTATTTTGATTGAATGTTAAAAGTGCAATACAAAAAGTGTATATCATAAATTCAAACCTTATTACATAACTCAAAAATTCGTTATATATATATTCTTTCAAACGTCAATTAAACTATGGGAAGTTTTAAATGGCCAAAAGATTAAAAAATTATAATATTTTTTTTATTTTAAAAATAAACTGATCTTTTTTTCATTTTTTAGTTAAAATGTATTAAAGTTAAAAGGGTAAAAATGTAAAATAACATAGATAAAATATCATTCTGGCCAAATTTTGACCAAATTTTCTAGCCAAAAAGATTTTTCCTTAAACTATTGTCACTTCATTTTTTTTTATCACAAAACATTGACAAACTAGCATGTATACTTCATTAATCATAGTTTGGTAATAGCAGCATTGGAATTTCACTATTTCTCAACTCAAGCAAACTTTTGGCTGCATGAACATACCTAACTTCCATTAGCTTAGATCCCACCATGGGATACGAGTTTTGAAATTTAAAGATATTTATTAGCTTGAACAAACGTAAATTGAAAGTAACAATAAATGCACCGTTCAAATCAATTATGTCACATAAGATCAAACTCTCCAATTGAGGACTCATAACTTTGATGGTATTTAATCTTTATATAAATGATGAGAAAAAAAATTTAGACACGAAAATGCTGAGCAAACCTTTTGAAGAACGCCATTAGGAATATTTGTAGAATCTATATGAGGACTTGTAGGCCAGTAGAAGCGAGCAAATTAAGTTTAAGTGTTGATAATAATGATGAAATACACGAGTAAAACTCAAGCACATAAATATAAACTAGAAATATAGTTTCACTTGTGTAGTTCATTATTATCAACACTAAAAATTGATATGCCTCCTTCTACTATAGATTTTACAGACATTCTTGACGGCTTTCTTCAAGAGGTTTTCTCAACATTTCCTATGTCTAAAATCTTTATCTCTTCATTTATGTAAAAGATTAAATAAAATCAAAGTTATGAGTCATCAATCAAAGAGTTTGACCTTAAATAACATAATCGATTTGAATAATGCTTTCATTACTAATACTCTTAATTTAGGTTCGTTCAACCAAATAAATATCTTTAAATTCCAATCAAGACTAATGGAAGTTGATGTATACTCACGCAACCAATAGCTACTCATTGTTGATTAGTACACTGAATTGTATAGAATGAACCAAAGAACATGTATAATATATAGTCAAAAAGAAAAAATATGGGCAAATTGAATAATTGTGAAAACTTCAGTTTTTTTTCTCCTCGTTTTTTTTTCTATAGGATATAGCTTATATGAGTGAAGTATTAGTATTTATATAGTACTATAAAAATATATAATTTAAGGGAACGAAATCTAGCATTTGCATGCTAATATTTAAACACATGCAATTATGTTTCCTTTAATTAGTTTCCAACTATAATATAAAACTTTATGTGAACAAAATCTAGAGTATTAATGTTAATATATGTAAATATATTTATGTTCCCTTAAATTAATTACCAACTATGAAAAGATTAGGATACGATTCATGTATCCCAATACATGCTCAACTATTATGGAAAAATGATAATGGATTAAATGTTATTTAAGATCCTCCTTCCTATATGTTTTTAATTTTTTTATTTAACTTGTCAATCTTTTATATATAGTTATTCTCAATTATTCAAGAAAAATATTTTAAAATTATTTTCTCATTGATTATATGGAATGTATAAAAGAAACTTCTTTTGTTCCATCAAAACTTAAAAGGAAAACTAGCACCTTTAGTCTCTCAAATATCGATAAATGGTGATCCTTGTAATGTTGTCTAAATATATTTAATCTTTAATTAATGAATATATGCATTTTTGTTTGCTTTTAGTATGATTTTCACAAATTTAATGAATTATTATGCGTTAAGCCGCTTATTATGTTAAATTTTAATATTATTCCATATATAGAGATAGTATTTAGTTATAATTATTCTCCATTAAATTTTCAATTATACAGAAATTCTCTTACTCAACTATTATGGCAAAATAATATTTCAGTAAATGTCAAAGATTCTTATTTTCACCTCCTCATTGTGTTTAATAACTTTGATGTATCTTTTGTTATGTTGATTCATTTTATAGAATGTTTAGTCAAAGTCAGAATGACTTTTTTATTATAAAAAAAAATAGTTAAATTCTTTTATATTTGAGCAAAATTAAGTAACTTTTGTATTTAAAAAGATAATATAGTAACTGTTGTAGTAAAATAAAAGATAAGTGACAATATGTGATTTTTTTTTTAAATCCCCTGGATTTCCAACTTAATATGTCAATCTCTTTAAAGCTATTCCTTATTAGCTCTAGGAAAAAGACCAAAAAATTTTCTCATAATACAGGAAATTAATAAGTTTATCTTTCCTTCCATCAAATCAAACAAAACTAATATATACTGGGGAAAGAATTATATAGTGATGTGTATATCAATGACTATAAATGCACATCTTAGTTAATTAAAAGTCAAATACATTTAAACAAATACTAAAAAATCGAATCCACAACTAGCAATTGTTGAGGAATCAAAGGGACAATTATTACACAGACCACAACCCCCCCACCCCCACTCTATAATTACATATTTTAGTTAATTAAATGTCATGCACTAATCAAAAATATTACAACAATTAAAGTTTAATAATTGGGGTGTGCATCGGTCGGTTCGGTTATTGATTTTCAATTTTTAAATGCTAACCCAAAAACAAATCAATAAGATATTTTTTATCGGTTTTCAATTTATCGATTTTTGGTCGTTATCGGTTCGATTTTCGATTTACCCAATAAAAAAATGTCCATAAAATATTATATGACTTCTCACTTCTCTAAATATTTTGATATAGTGAAACACGAAAGATAACGAGAAATTGCATCAATAAGAGAAAAATATAGTACGAAAGCTATAATTACATGTCACCGTCAAAACATAGTATGTAATTTCTGATGTTAATCAAACTACAGACCTTTACAAACTTGCGAAAGCTACAACCTACAATTACAAACTAAAACTAAAATCAAATAGTCTAACAAGACTAAAACTAAAAACTAAAATCAAATAGCTATAATTGTGAATCCTTACTTTAGTCTTTAGGTTTTGAGTGAACAGTAAAGACTAGTAAATCGGCCTACTGTGAAGTGGGTAGAGTACTAATAATTTGATATAGTTATAGTGTCTAGTTATATATTAAATTATTAATACTTAATATTTAGGAAAGGTAAAGTAGTAAATTATTACCGTCTTATTGGGTTATCGGTTTATCCAATAACCCAACAGTAAAAACTGAAACCGAACCAATAACCCAATAGCTTTTTTTTTTTTATAAACCCATTAAAAACCCAATACCCAATAACATTTTTTCAATTCGATTTATTGATCGGTTCAGATTTTGCACACCCCAAAGGTGTGTGGGGGGGGGGGGGTAAAAATTCATTACTGATAATAAATTTTATTTTATTTTTAAATTGGGGATAGGGGAGGGATAAACGGAAAGGGGATTATAATGTGGAGAATCGAATGATGATAAATTGTTCACATTCGATATTTATATCTAATCAATAAATATCGTGTCAATAAATATGTGCCTAACTTTTACTTCTTGTTGGAGATAATAAACAACAAGCACCAGTGGTCTAGTGGTAGAATAGTACCCTGCCACGGTACAGACCCGGGTTCGATTCCCGGCTGGTGCATATGATAGTGCTGTGATGATTATTGTACAAATTTGTGAAGTAGGGTCTTCACTACCATCTAATAAATGAGATGAAATCTTGTGCATCTGAGCTCTCTATTCCTTTTTAACTATTTTTTTCTAAGACTTATTAATCATTTCAAAATTTTAACTATTTTTTTCTAATCTAATAAGTGAGATGAAATCTTGTGCATCTGAGCTCTCTATTCCTTTTTAACTATTTTTTTCTAGGACTTATTAATCATTTCAAAATTAGTAGGCGTGGATTATGACTTGATCCAATAGAGTTTGACACCTTTTTATCTAAATGAAATGATGTTTGATGAAAGGATATAGATTCCTTTTTAACTATTTTTTTTCTAAGACTTATTAATCATTTCAAAATTAGTAGGCGTGGATTATGACTTGATCCAATAGAGTTTGAACACCTTTTTATCTAAATGAAATGATGTTTGATGAAAGGATATAGATTATATTTTTCTAAGACTTATTTATCATTTCAAAATTAGTAGATGTGGATTATGACTTGATCCAATAGAGTTTGAACACCTTTTTATCAATGAAATGCTATTTGATGAAAGGATATAGATTCTATACTATGATGTGGGTTGAAAGGAGAGTTGCTATGTGAAATTGGTTGTTCATGTGTTTATGTTGGAAGCATACTAGAAAGAGAATTGAAAAGGCCTTTAAAAAGGGCGATTAGGTGTTGTAGCTAATTTATAGATAAGAGGTTACACGTTTAGATAGAAGTGTAGGAAGAAATTTCGAAGATTATAAAAGATATTAGGAATAAAGTCATAAAGAATTTAGTTAAGTCAAAAGTACTTATAAGATGTAAAACTATCCGTTAGGGGGACCAACTTTTGATTTTTGCTTCATTTTGGATTTTGATATTTCCTCTGACAATAAATGGGCAAGTTCAAAGCAAAGTCCTTTTTGCATAATAATCACAATTCTCCATAAAAGTACTCCTTCTGTTTCAATTTGTTTCTTACTTTTTCCTTTTGATCCGTTTCAAATTGAATACCTTTTTCATTTTTTGACAACTCTTTAATTCTAAGTTTCCACATGACATGTTTAATACACAAGATTAAAAAATATTTTAGTACATTCTATATATTTTTAGTAGAAGAGTAAATACATAGGGATTTTCTAGTATGTTTAATGAACAAAACTTACCATCTTATGTTAATTTTGTTTCTTGTACATCAACATAAAATTTATCTACAAGTTTTGTAAACCAACTGTACTCCGTCCTCCTACTTTCAGCAGCGTGCTGTTGAATGTGGTTTTCAAATGCTTTCTCCCATCTGGTTGACTCCAGAAAACCTTAAATTGTAAAACATAATGACATGTACTGAAAAGAAAAGTAAAACACAACGATGCATAGGCTTTCTCTTTTGTAAGGTGAGTAGAGTTGTCAAGATGGGTTGGCCAACACAACTCAATCCTAACGGTCTAGAGAGTTAAATGGGTTAGGACGGGTTAACCTTTTTAGTTAAAGGGCCTACAAAATAGCAGTCCAACCCAGCCTTAAGCGGGTCATGAGTTAGTACGGATCACCCCTTCAACCAAAAAATGAACAACATTGGTGTCTTAGAAAGATTATCTAAGAGTAACAAACATTGATGTTTGATGAACACGACATCAATACAAACAAAAATTCATTTATGAATTACACACTTCGATGAATACTTAGAAAAATACATAATAGCCAAGATACAACATCGTAAGATTCATCCGAGCAAAACATGATCACTTTTTTGATAAACAAGACAACAAAGGAGAAATGGAAAATTAGGCATAAAAACAAAGGTAGATTTGATTTTAGTGGGCTAATGGCCCTAAAATATAAAAGATCTGCAAAGGAGTTACATTTGATTTTATATTTTTTAAATATTTATTGACAAATTCTTTACAAATAAAACACTACTAAAATATATATAATAAATATATTTTAGCATTCATAGCCCACGGGCTGGCCTCTAAGGCTCGCGGGTTGGACCTACGAGGCTAGCGGACCAAATGAGGCTGAGCTAAAAAGCCTCATTCCTAAACGAGCGAAAAAATTAGGCCCAACCTCACTTAATTGAAGAATTGAATTGAGCTGACTTAACGGGCCAAACTCATTTTGACAGCTATAAAGGTGAGGTTACTTCAACAAGTTTAATTTGTAAGGCATCACTTTATAATGGTCATTACCATAAAGTTAATTAGCAACATAAAATATTTAAAAGACATATGAAAAATTTAATTGACTTTTGAAATTCTATTAATACCATATGAATTGAGAAAGAAGAAGTAGCACATATTATTTGAAAATAATGTTAAAAAAAGCTATAAATTATAATACTTAACAACTTGAAATTAATATTTGAAAGGCATATACAAATTTAGTTGACTCTTAAAGTTCTATTTGTGCCACATAATTTAAGGTATAGAGAGTAATATAATGATGTAAAAAACACTATAAATCGTAATAATTAATAGCCTGAAACATTGAAAGACATTAAAAAATTAATTGGCTCTTGAAATTCTATTTGTGCAATGTGAATTGAGAAATTCTATAGTATTATTTAAAAATTAGGTAAAAAGTACTATAAATCGCAAACTTAAAATATTTAAAAATCAAATAAAAATCTGAATGACCATAATAACTAATAATTTGAATACTTAGAAAATATTTAAAACCTTTAATTGACTCTCAAAATTCTATCAATACCACATGAATTGGTACAAGAAAAATAACATATTTTAATTAGAAATTACGTAAAAAAATAATTATAAATTATAATAATTAATAATATAAAATATATAAAAATTATATTAAAAAATTATTGACAGATTTCCTATCTATATCACATAAATTAAAACAAAATAAGTAACATACATTGGATACAAACTACATAGGGAGTCCTATATCTAGTTCAAGAGAAGCTAGAGTTTCTCACTCTACTCAGACGCGGTCATGGCTGTTTTATTTAAAAAACTAAAAAGACTGGTTTTAAAAGTCGCCACTTAAATTTTAAAGTAAAATTAAGAAGGATCAGGGTTAGGGTTCCACATCTGAAAGCTTCAATCCTAGCCTGTTACATCTGAATCTATGACCGGAGCGTCCGTTGGCCAGTCGGCGATGACGGCTGGTCAACTGATCCCACTTACTTTCGATTCCCAATTCCCCTATCTTCCTACTAATGTGCCTAGCGCGCATAAATTTCCTAGTGAAGAAGCGATGAAAGTCAATAAAGGCACATATGCTGCTCTTTTGAAACCATTAAATATGAACTCTCTGAATAATAACAAGAATCAGGTGGGTTCTCCGATACCATATAAGACTCCTACTTTCAATAAAGGTGTTCCACGGGTGACATAGACGGAGGATGAAGTTAAGAGGATGAATGTATTGGAGAATCTTCAATATGCAGTAATAGGAAAATTCTCTTATGGATGGCCACAACTGGAGGAATTAAGGAAATTAATACCTTCACAATGTCAGATTAAAGGAACCTGCCAGATCGGTTTATTGAGAAACAGACATGTATTAATAAGGTTGGAACTATTTGAAGATTTTGTGAATATAATGGCAAAACCATCGTATTACATCACTGATAGGGAAGGTTTTACCTATCCCATGAGACCTCTGATATATGATGAAAAATTCAAAGTTACTGAAGAAACCACACAAGCTATGGCATGGATTTCTTTCCCTGATCTATGGCCCACCTTTTTTGGGAAGGAATCTTTATTTTCACTAGCGGCAGCTATAGGGAAACCGATTCAGCTGGATAATGCAACTATTAATAAAACACGACCTAGTTGTGCGAGGGTGAAAGTCCAGGTCGATTTATTGGGGGAGCTACCTACAATGGTGGAATTGGAAATTACTGATCCAATAAAGAATACGTCCAGGGTGGAGAAGGTTAGAGTAATATATGACATGCTACCTAAATACTGTAAGAAATGCAGACTACAAAGTCATAATGAGGAAGAATGTAGAATCCTTCATCCAGAATTGAGAAAGAAGACTCCAACAGATGAAGAAAATGGGATTGATAATGAGGTAGATCCACAACAACCGCAACGAGCTCAAGGAAGAAGCAATAGGCAGTGGATCTCTACTAATAAGAAATTTCCAAGAAATAGCAATAACTCAGGTGATGGTAGTAGGCGGGAAATTGAAAAAGAAGAGGTTACTTCAAGTAACTCCTTTAATGTCCTTACAGAAGGAAACAATGAACATGAGATTGAAGTCGAGGAGAATATACTTACAGATAAAGGAGTGCATGAGAGCACTAAAGGATGGGTATGTAATACTTTCAACAAACTAATAGACGGACATGAGCAGAGAACAAGCAGACAAACAACCACAAATATGAAGGGTAGAGATGAACAGCAAAATCAGTCACATGCATATAATACAGGAGAGTCCACGTCCAATACAAAAAGCCCGGCCTTAAAAGAGCACACAGTAGTAAATAAAAATGAGCTTAAAAATGATAAAACATATGCCAATCTGCAGAACTTCCCTAAGGAGGATGATGTTGGACATCATGGGGAAAATCAATCAGTTGTATTGTGGACTAAAGGAGTGACAACAGGAGAGGTATTTCCCAGCCCTTTACAGATTGAATGTGCTGATGGTACTAAGTTCTCTGAGCAACAAGGATTGTTAGCCCTGCCCTATTGTGAGCAATCCAATGAATCACCTAGAAATCAAAATAGAGAATTGTCAACACAGGAGGACACAAGGATAGCTATTTATGCTAACACACAACACAAGTCTCCCATGCAAATGCTTCATGAATTGGTATCTCATCAAGGGGTAAACAAGGAGAGTCAAACAAATGAGAGCCTAGAACAACATGAAATGGCAAGAGTGGAGGAGCAGGATGACTGCCATATTAATCTCATTGAAGTGTGTAAAGAAGCAGGTCTATCACCACAAGAGATAACAAAGAAGAAGAAGACTAAACCTCAAGGACCTGTCAGGGTCAATCCTATGAGGGCTGGAAGAACAAGTTCAAAATGAAGTACACATCTTTGATATGGAATATTAGATCTGTGAGGACTCATCATTCATTCCATAGAGTACAAATGTTGCATAGACATCATAAATTTGATATGGTGGCTCTAATGGAACCTTTTCAAGATATAAGACATATTCAATCATACAAAAGAAGGTTGGGCATGACATATGCAAATTACAATGTAAATGGGAAGATATGGTTATTTGTACAAGAGAATATTCAGGTGGAGGTAATATCAGACTCAGAACAACAGTTGACTGTGAAACTACTATTTGATAATGGCCATCAAACGATCAATACTTTGGTATATGCAAAGTGTAGTTCCTATGAAAGGCTCCAGTTGTGGAATGAGATATACTCTATTGATCAAAATATGACATATCCATGGTTGGTAGAGGGTAATTTTAATGTCATTTTGACTCCAGAGGAGAAGATAGGAGGACTTCCAGTATATCCTACTGAGGTGGAAGATTTTGCTTGCTGTATAAACTCTTGTGAATTGATTGATCTAAGATTCAATGGAAGTCCTTTCACATGGTGGAATGGTAGGGCTGATGAGGAGTGCATCTTTAAAAGATTGGACAGAATCCTTGTAAATAATTTGTTTTTGGGAGAAATGGGGAATTTAAAATTAGATATCCTTGCTAGGTCTGGCTCTGATCATGCACAAATGTTATTAACATGTGGTGGACAATCTCCACCTACATATAAGCCATTCAGATTCCTTAAATTTTGGACTGAGAAAGAAGAGTTTAAAGAGGTCATTCTACAGAATTGGGTTGCTGATGGTAATCCAGATATTTTTATAAACTTGAAGGTAAAGATGAAAAGAACTAAACAGGCCCTGAGAAAGTGGAGTAGAGATTGTTATGGTGATATTTTTCAACAACTAATCATCAGGGAGGATATTGTCAGAGTTAAGGAACAATTGTTTGAGCATACACCAAATTCTGTCAATAGAGAAGTACTTAGTAGAGCTCAAGCTGAGTATACTAAGTACCTGCACTTTGAGGAAGAGTTTTGGAGGCAGAAATCAGGAATTCAGTGGTTCACAGAGGGGGATAAAAATACTAAGTTTTTCCATAACTTGGTAAAAGGTAGAAGGAAAAGACTGAACATTGACAGGATTCAGAAAGCTGATGGTACATGGGCTGAGGGGACTGAAGTTGAGACAGAAGCCATCAAATTTTATCATGAGCAATTTACAGGAGGGGCAACTGATGTGGATCTGACCTTACTTGATTTAGTTCCTAATATGGTGACAGAAGAAGATAATGTACATTTGAACAGACCTCCTACATTAGAAGAAGTCAGAAGGGTAGTTTTTGAACTAAATGGAGACAGTGCTTGTGGTCCAGATGGATTTACAGCTCATTTTTATCAATGTTGTTGGGATATTGTTCATAATGATGTATTTGCTGTAGTACTGGCTTTTTTTAATGGTTTGACATTACCAAAAGCTATTACTCACACCAATCTAGTCTTGATCCTAAAAGAGAAAAGGTGGTTTCATTTTCTGATTTAAGACCCATCAGTCTGAGTAACTTCTTAAACAAGGTCATATCTAGACTCATCCATGATAGACTAGAGGATCTGCTGCCTAAGCTTATTTCCAATAACCAATCTGGATTTGTTAAAGGTAGGAACATTACTGAAAATGTTTTACTTGCACAGGAAATTATAGTAGACATCCGAAAAAGGAGTAAGACTGCTAATGTGGTGTTTAAGCTAGACATGGAGAAAGCTTATGATAGAGTGGACTGGAGGTTCATGATGAAAGTCCTTGGCAAAATGGGTTTCAACGATGTATTCTCAGATAAGATTTAGAGGCTAGTTGCTAATAATTGGTACTCTGTGTTAATTAATGGACAAGCCTCTGGATTTTTTCATTCTACTAGAGGGGTCAAACAAAGGGACCCACTGTCTCCTACATTATTTATATTGACTGCTGAAGTCCTCTCAAGGGCCTTGAATACCCTACATTCTTGTCCACAGTATAAGAGCTTTGGGTTACCTAAGTGGAGTGAGAACATTTCTCACTTGGCTTATGCAGATGATACCATAATTTTTGCTAATGCTGATAGTTTCTCTATAAAGTTGTTAATGAATACTTTGCAGGAATATGAAAAACAATCAGGGCAGAAGATCAATAGGGACAAAAGTGCCTTTTTTGTACATAATATGGCTGCTCATAGAGATATTCAGTTAATAGAGGAATGTTCAGGATTTTCAAGAGGTACTTTTCCTTTAACATACCTGGGTTGCCCAATTGGGCATGCTAGGAAAAGGAAAACTCACTTTGCTGATCTGATGAAGAAAGTGCTAAATAAACTACAAGCTTGGAAAGGAAAGTTACTCTCATTTGGAGGAAAGGTTGTTCTAATTAATAATGTGCTACAAAGTGTCCCTATATATCAACTATCTGCAATCATACCTCCTAATTGTGTGATTCATGACCTACACAAACTATTTGCAAGATTCCTGTGGAGTTTTAAGGAAGGTAGTAGAAGCAAGCACTGGGTTTCTTGGACTGAAATTTGTCAACCTAAACTGGAAGGAGGGTTGGGTTTCAGGTCCCTATTTGATGTATCAAGAGCTTTGTTTGCAAAGCTTTGGTGGAATTTTAGAACCAAAAACTCTATGTGGTCACACTTCATGTGGAACAAATACTGTAAGAAGTGTAGACCTCAAATCGTGGAGTGGAAGGGAGGTTCTCAGACTTGGAAGTATATGTTACAGGCTAGGGATTCCATAGATCAAGAAATTTGGTGGCAGCCTAACAATGGATCCTCTAGTATTATGTTTGATAATTGGTCTCAAATTGGAGCATTACATTACTATCTTCCAATATCTTTTTCTTCTAGTCTCGATCAAGAAGATATTAGTCAAGTGATGATTCAAGGGAAGTGGAATGAGGAGTTGCTACGACATATCTTCCCCGAAGGAGTTACAGAACACATTATTAAAAACATTGATATTGTTCAGGAGTGTGAGGAGATGGATAAGCCTTACTGGATGCTAAATCATTCAGGTAAGTTCTCTATCAGGTCAGCTTGGGAGAGTTTGAGAACTCCAGGGGTATATCAGGAAGAATTTAGACAAGTATGGGAGAAAGGGGTCCCTTTTAAAATCTCTTTCTTCTTCTGGAGATTGATCAAACAAAGAATTCCTATTGGAGAACTTTTGGTCAGAATGGGGCTAGAAGAGGTGGTGTATTGTTGTTGTTGTGACCTGAACATTAATGAAACATGGGAACATCTTTTTATTGCTTGTCATAAATCTCAGTTTCTGTGGAACATAGTTGGAAGAGCTGCTGGAGTTGAGGGGCCTTTTCTACAACTGAAGGACACCATTTTTAAATGGTGGAATGCAGAATGTAGTGCTAAATTGAGGCCTCTGTTCAATGCTATCCCTGGTTTTATCCTATGGGAAATTTGGAAAGGAAGAAATATTGTGAAACATGGTGGTAAAATGTCTAGGTACAGTATGTTAGCAGAAATTAATAGAAATATTCACAGTCTGGCTGTGGTTAGATATCCTTGGTTACACAACATACCTAAAGAGTGGGCTATGATGGTGCATTTCTTTGAGAATTACAAATCTGTTATATCGACTAGGGTGATTTATTGGGTCCCTCCTGGTATAGGGGTGTACAAATGTAATTCAGATGGTGCATCTAAGGGTAATCCAGGACCTAGTTCTGGGGGTTTCTGTATCAGAAATTGGGAAGGAAAATTCATATATGCAGCTACACAGGAGTTGGGTGTCAAGACAAGTTTGGAAGCAGAGGTCATTGCTTTAAAAATGGGACTACAATTTTGTGTGTCCAACAATCTATTACCTGTTATACTGGAGACTGACTCATTAATGGTGTCTCAAATATTGGGTGGCAATTGGGAAACTCCATGGAGCGTTAGCTTGATGATTAAGAAAATACAATGGCTGAGGAAGGCAGGAGGAGTGGAGGTGTCTCATGTACTCAGAGAAGGAAACAAAGTTGCGGACTACTTTGCTAATTTTATTTTTTCATGTGCAGGTATAGGTTTTAAAGTTTTTAACACATACATAGAAGTACCCAGGGAAGGGAAGGCACTCATCGAACTAGATGCAAATAGAGTTCCAAACTTAAGAGTTACCAAATGCCAGAATCCCTCATTTACAGTATAAGGTGCCCAGGTTACATCAATACTAAAAACATGTTGTTCAAGAAGAAGAAACAAGATTTACCTCAACCGATGACCGTGGATCTAAATCGGAGCCATTTAGACAGTGGTATTAGCTCTTTGCGAGCTCAATCTGTCAAATGGTAACGATTTAGAAACATGAGATCAGTGAGGTAGCAAGATATAGGAATATAACAAATAATAACAGCAAGAGAAGGAGTAAGAACTCTTCATTTAAGTGCGGAATCTACAATACAATCCCAGAAAAAACATGAATTATTCCGAATCATCGCAATAAGGTTTGAGAATATAGGGCTCACCTTCAAATGAAAGTATCAGATTTGAGCTACATCAAGTTGAAAAAGTCTTCATCGGACAAGATTACATGGCGCTTGTGACAGATTAGAGCGTCTTGGATGTAATCTATCCAAGCTCGATGTTCTCAGGTCTTTGACCTTTCATCAATGGACGTTCGTTGTTCCCTCCAAGTTCGGCTGACAGTGGTGATAGTAAGGAATAGAGAGAAGGGCGGCTACTTTCCCCTGTTTGTGTTGGTCTTAATGTCTTAATTTCTAAATTTTTCATCTGCTTTTGTTTGGTAAGAGAGGCCACTTTTAGGCCTATAGCATTTGTATTATTTCCGTTTTATGTATTAATGCCTTTTGGGGCTTTTGAAATTTTTTTTATTTTTTTTTTAAAAAAAAAAAAAGTAAAATTAAGAAAAATATTTTTTCAAAAGACTAAAACAAAAAACTAATGAAAATATTAAAAGTGGGTTCAGGGTTGATATCAGCATTTCGGAAAGGCTTTGAAAGCACTCGAAATTTCCACTAACACGTGGTTATCCAGTAATTAACTGTTGGCTAATTATTTTAATAAAATAAGCGTACTTGAGAAAAATTGAAGAAATGAACAACATAAGACTTAAAACTATTTTCTTTATGGGGAAAAGGGGAAATGTGATGATTTTACTAAGTAAAATTTTGAAGTAATTTAAATAAAAAGGTAAACACTTAAATAGTTTTTTGGGAAAATATAAATAGTTAATCCAGAATGACTATCTTTAGGGAATTGGATTAGGCAAACTTTAAAATTAACTAACAAATAAAATAAGAACAAATTACTTAAGTACAAAACATTACTTTACCTATTCTCAATATTTCCCTACTCTTTTATTAAAATACAAAAATTTCTTATTTTCCCCCAATTCAACTTAACCGGATACTTTATTATTTGGAAGCCAAATTAGACCTTTCCCATTCCCTAATTTTCGCCCTCAATCTCTCCCATTACAATTTCAGTTATCAAATTCAAATAATTTTGAATTTCAAAAGAATCCTATCACTATTCAACCGGATTCAGAGTTCAAATTAGGTTTTCTCATCTTCTCCATTGTGATTTCCGCCTTTTTTTTCTTTTTTCTTTATTGTGTATCAATCATTTTGGCTCTTGCATTATGCATCTAACATCTAACAAATCTCTAATTTTTTATTCAGAAGATCCTAACAACAAAGAATTGAGTTCTAAAAGGTTGCATCACCCGATAGTCATGACAAATCAAAATTCTAGCAAGAGAAAATCGGTAAAAGAAGTACACACATCTACTTCAAAAGATCCGAAAACCCCAAAGAAAAGGGGTAGAAAGGTTGTCCCTCCCATTAATCGACCAACATTACCCATGGTATGCAATTTTTATCATATATGTATCCCTTGTTTTTTTTTTAATCTGATGATAAATAATTTCTTATTTTTTTATTAAGTATCCTTTTTGAAATATGCAGTTGTTTTCAGATACAATATTTTTTTGCGAATTTGTTTATTAACTGTTATTGTATCAAAAGTGAAGAGAATTGTATCGAAGTTATGTACTCAACTTTGTAGGTTATTTTTTGTCACTGTATATAAGAAATAATTGAATTTGTGCACCTCTTATGTTTTCTTATGCTTTGTTGTTATTTAGTATTAAATGAAATGAACATTACTGTATCTAAGATACTTGCTTAATTCACAATTTGGCATCTAGGTTGGTTTTGGTACTGTGCATCATAGTCAATGATAATTCTCTATATGATACTTAAAAGAATAAAAATGGTTATGAGAATTTATATGTGTATCACATTGAATTATGTCAATGTATATACAGTATAATTGATTTTGTGTACCTCTTATGTCTTCTTGTTATTTAGTATCAATTAAAGCAAAACATCATTATATTTTCGTAATAGTATAGCATTTCTATCTGTAGGAAATTGGTGAACTGTTAGGTCCACAACAGTCATTTGAGTTGGAATATGCTCAAGACATTATTCAACAACAAAGCGATAGCCTGTTAGTATTGTAAAATAATTTATTTACTTACACATTTAATTCTCTTTTTTAATGTATCTACTTTTTGTTTGCAGTGATTGTGGAATGTATGTAGCTGTTTTTGCTGACAAAATCAACATTCCATCTATTAGTTTTCAGAGTGACTGTCTTTGCAATAGATATGCAACACTGTTATGAAAGTATGGTATGGACAAGTTCAAGGCGGGATATGTTAGCGATAATGATGATCCTACAAGGCCGAAGAGTGGTTACACTACACCAGCAGAAGGTGGAATCATTAATGTAGAATAGTTATGTTTTATTGTATTGAAGATACATTAATTAGTATTTTGTAATATTCCTTCCCGTTTCAACACAATTATTCTAAGTAATTATTAATTTGAAGACTGTTTTTGTCAAAAATTGTATTTCAATTTTAATTATTGTTCCAATATATATAGTTTATTATATAGTATCTTGTTACAAATTGTATCTTATACACCAATACTGCTGATACAATATAACCATCAGATACAGAATATCTGATACTATATATTCTACACTTGGTAAACAACAACTAATTTCAATTTATTTAGTATCTCTTAACATGTGGTAGCCTTGATGTAAATCACAACATATGATACTATATTATTATCAGATACACAATATCCATAAAAATATTATGTATACAACACACACTTTATTATCAAATAATAAATTTGTGTATATGTTACAATTGGTACAAAACAATTAAGTTTCAATATATTTAGTATCCTTTAACAGGTTGAATCTAAATCATAACAACTAACAATTTTTTATTATCAGATACAAAATATAGTTGAACTATAACATCTATGATAAAAAATAAATTATCAAATAACTTAATTGATACATACCCCAACACATGATACAATATGTTTTACACTAGGTATAAAGCAATTCAATATATTTAATATTGAGTGGTTATGTTGTTATAAAGTTTTTAGGTACGGACCATCAAATCAGCAATGAAATGATTTATTTATTTTTTTGCATATTCCTTTCATACTCTCCATTTGTTACTTAATTACATATAGTGGTTGTTACAAGTTGTGGGGCTTTGAGAAGTTGTTGTTCAGAGACTCGAGAAGTAACATTAAGAGAGATTGGAAGTACACCATACAAACAAAAAATGCATATTCAACAGTTTGTCTCTTGTAACATTTATATAAAGTTAAAATCACACCAAATGATAATATCTTATTAGCAGATTCAAAATATCCAGAAAATTAGTACACATGAGCATAAAAATTCTTAAAAAATAATCATCGAGAATCTTTTAGAAAGAAAGTACATGTTCTTATATTGTGACCTTCTTGTCCACAACGTCCACAACAATTCGTTTTTGTGCTTAGCTTTTTGTCTGAATTTTTCTTCCTCTTTTTTCTTGGTTTATCAGGCATTTTTTTGTATCTTGGTGGCAAGACGACTTCTTCCAAAACACATTCTAGAGCTGTCCAATCACTTTTGTCTGGCATTGGTTCCATTGGAACTACATACGTTTTTGTTAATGCGTCATGTTTATAGTAATCACAATGGAGACGAATCCCACCTCATGTTTCTTAATTTCTATGTACATTTCACCCCCATATCATTCCAAATACACAATGGAGATGAATTACCTTCAACAACGTATCTGATCTCGATGTTTCTTTTCAATTCATCAATATCCAATTCAGCTGCAATTGTTGAAATAAGATTCACGAACGAAATATTTTTCCAACTACTATCCCATCACTTCTGTATCGCTCGTATCTAACATCACTTTCCCATGATCCAGAATGCCTTAGCAAGATCGAAATATTCATTTCGAATCTTCACAAAATTGCGTTCCAGAATTGTTTGAATCAAACTTTTACTATTTTTTCGAAGAACAGGCCAGGGAGAAGGTTTCACAATTTGAAATTTAAAAATTATAACTCAGTTAGAGGTTTATGAACGACTGATTGGTTGAAGGAAGAAACATAGCGTGATTTGTGGGAGTCAATTATAATTTTCGTTTTAATCCATTATTTAACACATTAAACTGATAACAACAACTTAATAATTTAAGTATCCGCTCTTTATTAATTAAAGTATCCGCCTGCAATATTATGTATCCGAAAGACACTAAAAAAAGGGATTTTTGGTAATTAATGAAAGAGTAGGGATAGGAAGTAATTTATTTCTTATACTATGTGATTTGCCTAATTTTTACATAACATAATAACAATTAAATAATTAGGGAAGAAAGGCTCGGGCCCAAGTCCGGTTCTGTTCGCCTGGGTCAGTACTTGGGCCTAATCCTATTTTTTGGGACTTTGACCCAATACTTGATATATGTCCTAAACTATCATAAGAAAACTGATTTTTTCTTTGTAAGGCCCAATTTACACGTGTCCTAAACTCTAACAATATGATAACAATTAAAATGACGAGGGCTTAGGCCCAAAATAACAAAATACAACTTAAAATAAAGAGATGGGCTTTTGAGCCCCATTCTGCCTCAATACACAACATATACACTTAGTGTATATTAATGTATATTCTTGGTATATCAACTCCAAATCTTGTACGTCAATATTTCGGGGATCTGTTCTTCGATTTTAATGGCTGACTGACTTGATAATGGTGAAACTTGAGCCCTAATGGCTCTCTCGATATGCAAGGGAAAGGTGATAGGAGTTTATACTGAACTCGAATAGATGCCACATGCAAACAAAAATGAGAAGATAAGGATTAATAAGCAATAACAAAACTATTATACATTTAAAACAAATCATAGCAGCCCTTAAACCAAAATATAGCAAATAACTTTATCGAATTGAAATGACAATAGATCTAGATAAGAAGATATCAACTCCGAAAACAATGAAGACCCATCATACTAAAGATAAAGTAACGATTACTTAAATTACTATTTTAACATCTAAAATCCACATCAAACAAATACTAACAAACTTATTTAATGAGCAGATACGCCAATAAAGGATGATAACCACTAAAGTCGGATACTCAAATTTAGCTACTAAACGTGACTATATATCGCAATGAGGCTACAAATGAATTAATATATAGGAATTATGGTTAGCCACTTAAAGAATGTGCATTTACAACCTCACTTGGAAAAGAGAAAATTAAACAAGAAAGAGGTGACCTTAGCACAACTTTAACAACCTATCAGTTCATACTAGAGAAAATGTATACATAGATGCCAAGACATCTCTTCACTATAAGGAAAATCTGGACTAAACATAAACTAACCAAAATAAATAAATTAAGATCAACAAAAAAGAGGGGCACATCTACATACGAGAAGCTAGTTAAGCCAATAAGACAACAAATCAAACATTCAAGCAATTGCCCGTTCACTTTACTCAAACAACAATGATGTGAGAACTAGATATTTGACACACTCACGCTTTCCAGATTTTAAACATGAAGAAATATGCGAGGACATAGTGTTCCAAACGAACGACAAGAAGATATAACAAGACTTCATTAATGATCATTGAATGAGCTTAAAACAAGAAGTAACATGGGTCAAAACGAGCACACAACAGCTCAATCAAATTTTAATTTACTACTGTCTCCAACAAACTATGAACAACTCCAACATACAACCTCCATATCAACCAATTTTTCAGATTCTACCTTATTTTTTTTAAAAAACAGCACTGACAGTAATAAAAACAAATAGAATTTTTGAAATTTAAGGAACAAGGAAAACAAGAGAATAGAGATTCAACAGTATTCAAACAAACATACAAGCATGAAGATAACGAAGCAAACTCAAATCAAGAATCAAGGAAACCACAACTCTAGATACGAAACAATAAAAACCTTAATCGAGTCATTCAAGAACAAGATATATAACATATTAAAACCACCTATCTGCAGCTACAAATAGCAGTGACGCAACGATACAGTAGTGAGGCACATCAGAAATAGAAGAAGACAGAAAGAAAATTATGGCAGAAAATATTACATTTTTTCGGACAGCGAACTGAGATGAACAGAGTTGAGGCGAGTTGTATTACCACCACACGAGAGTTTCCAGAGTTCCAACAAATTCTGGCAAACAACGAAGGGGAAGAAAAGAGAGCTTATCCGTTTAGCTTCTATTTCCCTATGTATTTTTGTATGTAAATTATGTATCTTCTATGTAATCTGTAAATTTTCTATTCTTCCAAAAAAAACATCCCCTCAAACAACTGGAAAATGAGGGTTTTATAGGAGAAATTAAGGCTGAAAAATTGGGGAAAATCGGAAGGGATTTTATTGTGATTTGAAATTTGAAATTCCCATTCACCCTTTTGAGTTGTCAATAGTACCAATTCTCAACGGAATTCAAAGGAGGAACGTTGATTTCGTGACAAGGACGATCGAAGCAAGGAGGAGGAGACATTTGGATGATCACGCGCGAGGTCGCTGGGCTTCGGGTTCGCTGGAATTCGCTGGGCTGTTGGAATGGGTTTCGATTTTTTGGATTTTTCTGAGTTCGCTGGTCGAGCTTTCGCGTGAAAAAAAGAAGAAGAAACGATGGGGTCGTTGGTATTGCTGGAATTTGGGCTGCTAATCAGTTGGGTATTGGTGTTTTGTGTGTGTTATTGTATTGTTGAATATTAAAGAATTGGGCTTGGGTCTTGTATGTATTGGGTTTTCTTAGTTTGAAAAGTGGGCTGCTGGAAAGGAATTGGCCCAAATTTGGCCTAAAGAGGGTCCAAGAAGTGGGAAAGAGATGGTTGGATTTGAATTAGACAAATGACCAATTAGATTGCAAACTTGATCAATTCAAGTTTAAACCTTAGCCAATTTGAATTTAATTGGTCAAATCAGCTAAAATTAAATGAGATGAATTAATATAATTAACTAACAAGCTTCTTAATTTTAACAATATGAAATAATTAATTTTATTATAAAATAGTTAATTTAAATTTATAACCATAATTTAAGCTAAACTAAATTAATAAAATATTCCACTAAAACGTAAAATCTTTTTCAAATAATCATAAAATATACTAATTATATACATAATTATGTAAAACATATATATTACTTAAAAATCATAGAAATAAAAAAAAATTAATTAAAAGTAACTTGAAAAAATATTTTGAACGTTATAAAAACTAATTATTTCAAATCGTTTGAAATTTAAGAAGCTTGATTATTAATCTATA